CGCCAGGATGACGTGCTTGCACGCCTGAACTTGGCGCCGGCCAGGACAACAAGTGCTGACTATCGACTGCATCATCGGTACAAGACGCACGTCACGCATGAGCATCAAGCAAACTGGTTCACCCTGCGTCGACAACGCGCGTAGAACGACCGCGCACCGCTCCGCCGTTTCCTGTCGAGCTTCGTGAGCCTTTTTTCTCGCTGGATCGTCACCTGGGACTGGAGTTTCGTTGCCGAGATCAAGCGCGCGCGCCACAATGTCTAGCGCACCGCCAGCAATGACAGCTTCTCCAGACTTTTCGCAGCGAGCAAGCTGACTCAGGGCGTAGACGGAGGCGCGAAGTGCTGCCTGGGACGGTGGTGACGGACTTTCGTCATTCTCGTGGACATCCGTGATCTCGCGCAGCACTTGGACAGCTCCTGTGGCGACCAATTCGCTCCAGTGCAAGGCGTCTTCGCACAAAGTGGCAATGATCTCCGCACAGACATCACCAACTCGTTGCGAGCAGCGCAGAGCTTGTGGGCGCGTGAGCAACGTCGGGAGCAGTCCATGAGTCAGCAGAGCTCGTCGATGTCGCGCGTGGAACGTCAAGTTCCCGAGCGTCTGTGCGCACGCGAGCACTATGGTCTCGTCCTCTTGATCTTCGCTGTCTTCACTCCGTTCACGGGTGGCGTTGGCAGCAAGCACGCGCATGATCTGCGGTACAGCGCCGGCTTCCTCGATCCGATCGTGTAGCGCAGGGAAACAGGAAGTGTTGCTGAGCGCGTTGAGTGCGAACTCGTGCTGTTGTCGCTGCTCGAGCTCCATGTCGGGGCTGTCACTCTCAGACTCTGAAGTCTCCGCGTCAAGTGGAGCGAGCAGCAGCTTCTTCGTGAGCACGTCAACGAGTCCAAGGGTGGCCATGGCCTCGCAATTGACTCGATACGCCGACAGGAAGCACAGAGCTGCGGCACATGCGTGACGTGTGGATGGATCGGCATGCTCGCACAGTACTAGCAGAGCAACGAGTGCACCGCTCTCTACCAGTCGGACTGCCATGCTGGAAGACCCTCCCGCCGCTGAGTCGCTCGTAGCCACCACCTTCTTCCCTGAGGGAGGCTTGGGCTCGGACGCCAAATTAGTCAGACAAGCAGCGAGCTTGCGGTGGATCTCCTGGCTGCTGAACTCCATCTCGCACAGCTTGGTGATGACTTGAGCAACCTTGAGCTCCATGAGCGTCTCGGCGAGTGCTGGATCACAGCTGAGGTTGTAAAGCGCTGTGACACAGAGTGTGCGGATCTCGACGCTCTCGAGTCGCGCGAGCTTGACAAGGGCGTACAGCACGCCGTCCTTGATGTGGATAGCTCGGAGTTCGTCGTGCGTTAGCAAGTTGAACAACGCGCGGGCGCAGATTTCCTTGGTTGAGTCGCTGTTGATGCGTAGCAGTGCGTTCACGATGAAGTCTGGCACTGTGCCTTCCTTCCAGACGTGACGGACACCCACGGGCTTTGCAGCTGGAGGCTCGACGGCCAGGTTGCAGAGCGCGACAGCCGAGTAGATCTGAATATCCTCCACACCGCAGCGCATCATGAGCGTGAGTGCTGGATAAAGCTCGGCACAGCGCGTGAGCAAGACGCGGTGGGAGGCGCTAGACGCGAGCTTGGCGAACGCGATAGCACACGCAAGGATCGTGGGGGCATACGATGAAGCAGACAAGTCGATGAGCATGTCCAGTACTGGCGTTTTCTCCAGCGCGTCTGCTGCGAGGTTGCAGCACGCCGTAGCGCAGCTTCGCAGTGTCTCGCGGATGATCCCGGCGGCAGACGCGCTTACCGGAGCATCTGCAGCTGCTGCGGCGGCAGCGGAAGACGTCGCGGCACTCATGAGGCGACGAATTAGTCGGACTCCGTTGTCAGCCACCATACGCGCGCGCGCCTCCGCGTCGAACGACAAGTTGGCCAGCACTCCGGCACACTGACGCAGCAGCTCGTCAGCACGCACTGGGGGTTTGTTGAAGACTTTGGACAGTGTGGCGACCACATCAGCACGTAGCAGTGCGGGTCTGCTCTCCGCTGCGAACGACAGATTGAGCAGACAGCCGAGTGCACATTCCTGGTAGCGAAGCAGCACAGTCGGTGGTCCTGATGCTTGTGCAGGTGTCGAGGGCGTTGGGCCTGAGGTTCCGGGGGCATTATCGTCGTCGGCTTCTTCCTTGCGTCTACAGAGCCGAACAATTGCGCGGATAGTGTCGTCCTGCAGCAGCACCGCGTGGAGGCTCTTCTCGCAGGATACGTTGAAGAGGGCGTTGGCACAGAGCTCGCGTACGCGGTCGTGCAGCGTACGCATCGCTAGTCTCGCTAAAGCTGCGGGCAGATTGCTCTGGAGGATTTCGGCGCAGTACGCGGGATGTGCCAGCATGCTACACAAGGTGAGCACGGCGTACTGCTGGGCCAAGGCGCTGCCTCCTGACTCACTGACGTCTTCTTCCTCCACGAAGCGCAGCAACAACGACACCACGCCGAACCGAGCGAGCAACGCTCGACTGTCAGCTGTAGCCGACATATTCGACAGGCACAGCGCCGTATTCTCCCGCACAGAAGCATTAGTGTGATGAGTACCGAGCTCCACGAGGTTTGCCACAGCATCGCTCAGTGCTAGATTCTTGAGCGACGGAGGGTGCGACGAGATGTTAGCGATGGTCACCGCGCACATTTCACGAACTTCTCGGGGCTTCTCGCACTTGAGTAGCTCTTCCAGGCACTCGAGGATTCGACCGTGACTCAGCGGCTCCAAATTTCCCGATAGCCCCGACAAATTGCACAGTGCTATGGCCAGGTGCTTGCGTATCGAGCCGACGTCGCCTCCGTCTTCCGCTTCGTCTCCGGACCCAGCAGCGGCAGCCACGCTGGCTTGTTGTGCCAGCTCGCACACTGTGTCAAGGATGCCTTCCTCCACAACCTTAGCTCTTGAGCCGCTCAGCAACGACAGGTTACAGATGGCCTCAGCTGCGAACTTCGCACTGGACTGGTCCTTGCGAGTAGCGAGCTTCATGAGAACGTGCACGACACTCTCAGCCACGGACGAGCTGGACGCCGAGGCGATGTTGATGAGAGCCTTCACACAGGCCTCTTTGGTCTCCAGGTCCGGTACGTTCAGCATGGAGAGAATGGCCGATACACAGCCTTCCTGGACAAGTCGAAGCTGACCGCTACGCTCGTAGGAGAACCGACACAGAGCCATACTCGTGTGACGGCGCACTTCTTCGTGTTGCGCCTTGGCGAGCTCAAGCAGCGCAAGTAGTACGCCTTCATCGGCCATCTTGCTGCCAAGTGGCGGCTCACACAAGAGATTCAGGATCGACGCGGCGCAGAAGCGCTTGACTTCCGTGTCTTCGAAGACCGCCAGTTTGCTCAGCGCCAGCATACAGCCCTCCACCACCATTTGGCGCTCGTGGCCAGGGATCGTCGAGAAGTGGTAGATGCTGAAGGAGCACTCCTGCTTGAGTCGGATCTCGCGCGTGAGACCGACGCCGTAGTCCAGCGCGTCGGCACTCGGCACCTGTTCTTCTTCGTCATCGTCGTCGTCTTTGCCCCTGCTGTGGCGACTGAAAGTCGAGTCGCTGCCTCCGACGCTGTTAAGTGAGCCACTCTCCCCTCCCAAGTTGTTCATGAGCGTGGGTTTGCGAAACCTCGACAGGTAGATCATACCGTCCTCGTAGTTGCCACGCTGACCGAAGAGATCTCCGCCGTAGCCTTCGAAGACGCTGTCTACGCGTGGCCCTCGACTTGGCGGGGGCGTAGGCCGCATCGCGCCTATGATGGACCGATTTCGAGGCGATTCAATGATCGCCACCGAGTTGTGTCGTGCTGGAGGTGACGGAGATGCGATGGTGGTTCCAGCGGGACTGTTCATCATGTGAGAGGGGGATCCACTGCCATTGTTCTCATCGCGCGCTTCTTGCGGGATGATCTTGGTGTTGATGTGGCGATAGAGCGTCCTCACGAGGTCCTCTTTGGTCGTGTTGGTCTTCCAGAAATTGCGTTGGCGGTGCAGCTTCCAGTGCTTGGCCAGCTCTTTGAGCTCCTCGAAACGGATAGGAGCCGCTGCCGGGTCACGCTGCCGCGGAAACAATTCGAACCGCGTGAGGTACTCGCGAAGCACGTCCAACTCCTTGTCGCGCTCCAGCTCCTTCAGCAGATCCCTCGTGTGCCTCGCATTCTGGGACAGTCGGTGGCTCATGACTTGTCAGGTCAAGCGCCTTGGCCGTCGAAATGGACCAAGGTCGCCTCGAGAACTTCAACTCACGCCGCTGGCAATCGAAGCTGTGCCGCCCTGTTTGGGCCAGCTCGGTCCGTTTCATACGATAAAGCTGGACAGCAGCCCCACCGAGGCTAATGTTGTCGCGCTATCCTGAGAAACATGGGACTTGCTCGGTACTACTTTGGTCGCGGTCCGAGGCTCGCTCCAGTTATCAACACCACCATGGCGCTGAAGAGCTACCACCGCGAAACTCTGAATGGTAGGTGGGCCGTGCCGTGCCGGACCTGTGTGAGGCGAGGCAAACTCTTGGTTAACTTTATGGCAATCGCCTCATGCCCGCAGATAACTGGTATGAAGAGCGCGCAGCACCGTTGAACGGCGTGCTGCCTCGCGATGGAGTGGTGAGCAACAATGTGTCGCCACTGGTTGTCGACGCTTCTTCACCTCATAAATACTCGTATTGCTGCTGTAGAAGGAGTACAAGACGACAACAGGAACCGACTTCAACGGGTCCCAGCCGATCATCCCGGTGCGTTGATCTTGCGATCGCCTGTCTCCGTCAACCAGACGCTAATGCTTGTTGCTTCTTGACCACAGCGTCAAAGGCCTCGCATGATCAACGACAGCAACGTCGACGAGGCCATTCGCCAGACAGCCTCTCTCGACTGGAGCCGAGGCTTTCGCTCTGTGCTTCCGGTGCCCGACCCGGAGCCGGACCGCGGGATGATCTCGACGCAGCATCGGGTGTTTGTCAACCACTTTGGATCCTCCTCCCAAGCTTCGTACACGTCATCCGCTGGGGCGATGATTGCTGCTGGAGGGCCTGGTGGAAGAACTGTCGAGCGTGGCAAGGCTGCGTCCGGCGCAATGGGTGAGGTGTACAAGATGAGCTCCGAGCCGCAAAAGGATACCCTTGCGCAGCGATCCTGGATGTACTCCACCGACCCGATGATTGCCGTCATGCAGAAACGAGCTGCAATGGAAGGAACTCAGTCGAAGACGCCCTCGGAGCCGCAGCAGGCGAAGGCCGAAAACTACGGACGGCAGATCACCTCCATCACGAGTATCAGACACCACCACAAAGGAGTCTTTGTCGACGATGAACCAGAACACCAGCAGTAGCTGCAACCAGGCGCATCTTCGGCTGCACAAAACAATTCTAGCATTTCACTTTGCATGCATTCTTTCTAGTTAGTCATTACGTCGTCTACGTACCAACCAGCTTTTTCTCTCGTGCTGCTTTCTGCACCAAATATACAAGCTTCGTTTGGTTATTGAGACGCACCGTTCTCCGTTAAACACATCTGGTAGCAGCTCTGCAGCACAACACACACAGCGTAAATCATTAGCTCTCAGTTTTTAGACCACTGTGACTGTCCACACAAATGCGCAAAAAGAAATATCTTACCAGGAACTCTTCCTCCGTCATGTTTAGCAGATCCTCGTCATCCACACCATCCAGCCGCTTAGGCTGGCCGTTGACCGTAACTTCAATATCGGTGCCGCCACCTTCGTCGTCCGTGCACCACTCCCACTCGACGTCCTCCAGCTCTTCCTCATCCATGGCATCGCCGTTCATCTCGGCATCCCAGCCCTGCTTGTCCACCTGTACCTGCACTTCCTCTCCATCATGGTTCTCTTCGTTGTAGCGCTCCAGCTCCGCCATGTACGCGCGCTTGAACGCTTCTTGCCGCTGCTCCTCTGTCATTTCGCTCTGCGTAAGAGGATCTACGCCCTGAATGCCGCTCTCCATGGGGATCGCCTTCTCTTCTACCGCCGCCGCCGCAGGCTGCAAGTGCTTCGCCGCCATGTGGCCACTGATGGAGCTGCCCTGCAAGAACTCTGGCAGCGCGCGCGGGGCTGCGACCTGCTGGTTGGCAGCCTCCTTGTCCTCCTTCCGCTCTCTGCTCGCCAAGTATTCGTCTTCAGCCTGGTCGTTGCCTGCAATATCCACGATAATCTCCTGGTCCTGCGAGCCATAGGGGTACAAGTACGACTGGCTGTTCTGTTCGCGGTTGCCACCACCGCCGCCGCCACCCCCACCCCCTCCTCCTCCTCGGCCACCTCCTCCTCCATTGGCAGCACGCGCACTATTGCCGCCAATTCCAGCAGCGCGGTTGTCACTCGGCAGGTTGCTGGGCAGCGCGTGGCCTTCCTTGACAAAGTCGCCGATGCGACGCAGCACCTCGTAGATGCCCTCGTGCATGCCGTTCTGCTTGTTCATCTGGTCTTTGAACTTGCGCTGCAGGCTCTGGATGCGCAGCAGCCGGTCGTTGTTGTCACATTCCAGCAGCAGCTCGTTGCAGTGGCCGCAGCGGAACTGGTACTGGCCGGGCATGAGTAGCAGCTGCGCCTCCAGCGCCGTGTACTCGCGGCCGCACTCCGGGTCGCTGCACTGGAACGTTTGGCGCTCGATCTCGAGCTGCTCGCTGTCTTTCAGGTGCTCGTGCATCAGGTAGAGGCGGTACTGCACCACGTCCACAAAGTACTTGTAGTCAATGTACCAGTACGACGTGGACGAGCTGCCGCCGAGTCGCTTGTCGTTCAGCACCTCCCTGCATTGGAGATAGTAGTAGTAAAACAACTACGTGAGTATTATAATATTGCCACAAATAGTCCACATGTGCGGGGTGGGAGCGCTACTGACTCGCAGACAAGGTTGTCCTGGTGCAGCTCGTTCATGATCTTGCGCACTTGACGCGTCTGGAGGTTCACAGCGTTCCCCATCTCGTCGTCCTGGAGTATATAATAAGATTAATACGTTAGTATTATTCAGGATAGCAAGGTATGAGTCGGAAGATGGAGACGGACCTTCATGAACTTCTCGCGGATCAAGGCGCTGAGCACGACGACGTGCTCGTCCGAGTAGAACGCGCTTCAAAAGGTAGAGCGGGAGACGGGTTAGTAGAGCGGTGGGAGTGGTCAGGGCGCGAGGAGCAGCGGGCCACGCACCGCCCCACGAGGTTCACGAGCTTCTCCACGAGCCCCGCCATTATGCTGCGCCAGGCGCGTTGGGTAATACTTAAGTAAAGCTCAATCTCTCGATTAATTACGAGCACCCTCTCGATTAAGTACACAAACTGAGTACAGTACTGAGACTTAAGTTTGAGGCATGGGTGAATACTGTTTTAACGATAGTGTATTGTGTGTTTTGTTCAAAATTTCCGCGGGCGGTTTGTTGAACCGCCCAAGCCAAATCTCCGACCAATCTCCGTGGCCACCAGGATTGGTTATTGGCACCCGTTTAAGTACGAATTGATCTTGACATGCGGGCACTTGGACCATATGGTTTGGGCCTGGAGATTGAGCAAATGACTTGAGTTTTGTATTTGGCGATTGGAGCGGGATCGCCAAACCGCCGCGATTTGGAAAATTTGGCCGGAATTCACAATAACAGTGAATTCAATCATGGCATTTCAGCCTAAGTACGGTGCACTTAGCGACAGTTCGTCAACTGACTTTGCCAAAATGATATTTTTCTCCTCCTTTTTTGTGAATATGTAATACAAGCCATCCCAGCCTACAGTGTAGGTCCTACACGAAGGGCTAGTGCTTAAAATCGCACGCATCATGTGATGCACCTGACATAACTCTTTCTCGCCGTAAATCTTGCCATGTTCGCGCGTGGTCTTGCCTACTGCTCCACCTCCCCCAAATAGCTACTTCCCCCTTTTCCTTGCCGCCTGCTCTCGCAGCATGAGCTGATGCATGTACTCTTTGAAGTAGTGTTCTCCGAGGTGTCCTGGCGGTGCCATCGGGAGGGTGCCCAACATTTTCTCCACGTACCAATCCGGTCTTTTTGTCGCGACCCACAGGCGAATGAGCGCACTTGTCTCGTCTGGAAACGGCCCGATCACGACCCTGAATGCTTGACGTCGGTTCTTCAAAACGCGTTGGTACATGTCATCGTCAAAATGCTTCGCGTACCGCATGTAGGCCTTGTACGCGGCGCTTTGATCGCGTGTAGCCGGATCCATGTTTCGCAATCCCAACCTCGCCCAGGCCCAGTGAGTGGGAAGACCACCTTTCCCTTCATTGAGCCAGTCTTTGAACCGTTGCGGCTCAGTCTTGAGGAAGAACTTCACGTAGTACTTGTAGTTGGGGCTCGCCTCCATAGCTTTATTGGACAGTCCGTTTAGGTTCAACGCCTTCTTGACGAAGTCGTCTGTTTTCCCAGTCAGAAACCACTTCTGCACTTGTATGGACTTGACCAGCGACGTGACAACGTCTCCTCTATCTTCAGAGTCGGGGAAATGGGCATCGATGCCTCGTAGTCGCCTGTGAATATGCGAAGAACCGAGCGAGGCGTCTCGACGAAGCTCTGCTGCTACCAGAGTATCGCTGCTGGCATGAAACGCGAGCACTGCCAGCAACAACATGAAGCGGTAGAAGTGTATGACGGAGGACACCTGTTCAGCGTTCTTGGGTCTTGGCGTCTAGGCTGGAAGTTTCGAAGTGAAGAATGGGTTGCAGATAGGTTAAAGGGTTAAGCAAGTTGACATGCGATAACGGAGACAGACTCAATCATTGAGTGGGGGATATTTATCAGTAGAGACCACAAACAACGACCAATTTATCAGCAGAGACCACAAACGATGTGATTGGTTAATAATAAGTAGGCCTGCCAAGGAGCCGACAGCCATCCATGAAAGCCGACTGTGATCGCACACAACGCAATTCAAGATCTGACAAGCACTTCAACGACCCAACCAAGCTACCATGTCCACGCCTTCTACCCCGGCTAAGATTACCATCCTAAGCGGCCTATGGAACCGCGGCTACCACGTCGTCCGCTGCTTCATGACTGCTGATGAAGTCGCGATGGCTCTGGCGGGCGTTGATGCCGTGCCAGAGTCCAAGTGGTTTAGGTCGACGGCTACCGAGAAGCGCCGCGAAGCTGTACTGAATTTGTCTGACAACATCAATACTAATCCACCTATTTACCGGCTTGCCTACGAGCGTTTGGTGGATTTCGCGTCGCGCCTGCACCATGCGTGGGCTGTCGACAAGAAGTGGACTATCGTCGAAGTCCAGGAAGGCTGCCCGCCCGAGGAGCTGCACCGCGATTTCCAGCCCTCCGAGACCACGGCAGCCATCAAGAGACACGAGTGGGTACAGTCGTCGGTGTAAACACCATTTCGGCAAGAAGAACACCTGTGGTGTCGTAATTCCACTAAAATCCTCCTCTACCAAAAGGTATTAGAGACACCAACAACACGCTAACCCGCACAGGTAAGCGCTTATTGGATCAAAACCTGAAGACCAGAAACGATCCCTCACACCGGGTCGGTTGCAAGCGCCTCTGTGCGCCTTAGGTTATCTTCGGTCAACCCAGAAACCTGTACCACTAGCCACGAGCTAAGGCTAGGATACTATGTAGCGCTTTCGCGCAACCCCACTGCAGTCCCTCAGAAAGGAAGGGTACCGGCGTGTTAGGCCTTATACAGGGGGACCAAGGTAAAACCTCGGTAGGTAGACTAATACACTCAGGGACACTCTAATCCCACAAATATATACTGAACGATACTCTAATACCGTTCCTGCCTCTCCCGCCACGTCAACTCTTGGCGCTGCCAAGGAAACTCTCGCTCAATGCACGATAAGCTCCCCGACAGGCATCCACACGCAGCCGAGCGTGTCCAGGCACTACAATAAGCTAGCTACACTTACCGAAGTCGGATTTGACCCTTGTTGGCTTTGGGGGAAGACTGTCTTTTTATTACTGAGTTTTCTGAGGCCTCGTTCTGGTCATCCTATGATGAATCCTATGTCCCTATACAAATATTTAGTGTGAACGATCGCAATAAGGCGATTCCGGACACATCAAATGACGACCGCGGCTACACTAATAAGTGCGACCGAAGTACGTAACTAAATGCATCTGTACCTAAAAGTGGGTACCATGAAGCCTCGTTCGGGGTTGTATTAGGACCCGACGAGGCTTCTGCCACTATCTGCCACTCCAACGAGGATAATGTCGTCAGCTTAACCAAAGCAGCCACTTCCATCTCGCACTTGGCTGCTCCTTGATTGTACCTTGATTCTTGGGCGATGAGCAATCGCTCCGGTAATCTCCATTTTCCGATACCACACATCTACGACGTTCACAAATGCTAGGCTTAAAAAAGTAGTGTAGGTGTTTATTTTAAATTAAAATAAAGTCTACACAACTTGGAGCCTTACCACTTTCTTCCTTTTCTTGTAATAATAATAATTATTATTATTATAACTATTATAATTAAAAAACTAAACCTTAAATAATGTATGACGCGTTTGTAGGGGGTTTATGACCTACGCTAGGGAAATTCCGCATTATTTCTTATAGATTTTACTGACCTTAGAAATATGTTATTATTTTCACGCTGTTAATGTAAGACAGCTGCATTATAAGTTTTATACTACATATGACCGACTATACAACTGTTCCATCCAACTAAACAAATGAATGCAACTACAATAGGCTATGTTACTTATGGATCCGTGAACTTCATCATGGATCTTTATGGTACTCTCATGGATCCGCATGACGTCTCATGGATCCTTCACGTTGATTCATGGATCCGAGTAGGGTATCATGGATTGTCGACGGCAAGATCATGGATCTAGGTTAATTCTAGTATATATATGTTGGCTACTTTTTTATCGGTAATCCTTTATTTTCTAGGGCTACAGCAATTCGACAATAATCGTCATGGATCATTCAGGTGTTTTCATGGATCCCGGTGAAAAATCAAGGAATTGCTAGTGTTCGGTCATGGATCCACGTGAAATCTCGTGGATATTATAGTGTGCACTCGCCGTTTCTTAAAGCAGACAAGTAATCATGGATAAACCGCTATACAATCATGGATCAATTTAGCGACTTATAGATAAAGCACTTTATGATCATGGATCCAGAACGTGACTCATAGATATCGCACGGATGGATCATGGATCCGTGTGAGGACTCATAGATACTGCAACGTAGATTCATGGGTCCATACGACGACTCGTAGATAAAGCATGAGTTTTATACGAAAAGTCTTACTAAGGCTTCTATAGATTACACAGAAGCTGCAGGATAACTACTGAGTACAATGTTTGTGGAATGTTTAGTTGATGTATAGAAAAATGCAATACCCCGCCCTTATCTAGCTTCTGATGACCTATCTGTAGTTTTTGATAAGCATGCAGTAGCGGTCCTGAATACCACAAGCGATTAACGGAGACTCGCCCACAACATACTCGCCTGGGACGATGCCGACACCACGCTCTTCTACTTCGCATGTCACGGTAGCGCATCGGCGAGTGTTGTGACCTGTGTTGCCGCGATTGGTGCAGGTATACTCGCTCCGAGTCGCGGCAACGACAGACCGTACGTTCTCGCCAAAGAACTCACTTATTTCTTGGGCCGCATCGTCTTCGTCTGACACCTCACAGGGCTGTAAAAGGCTTGAAGCTGCCCTTTTCGACCGAGCAGGTCATTCTCCACGGTTTTTGGCGCGTTTGGCAGCTCTAGTAACATCAGCAACTTCCATAGATCGTTGGATCTGTCGCCCGGCTTGTAGATACAATGGAGAAGGCTTCAAAGCGCTTGTCATCGACAAAGTATCGTAGAGAGGCAATCGGATGGTGACAGCCGAGAAAGCATCGTGGAGTTTTGGCACCAAGTACGCCTGGTGAAAATAGTGGCGTGTGTCGTACATCGGCAACGGAGAGTGTTTTAGCTTAGATAAGACACCATACAACGTGTACTGGTATCTTTGTCCATATCCACCTCAGCCACACTTGTGTTTCCACAGACATTCCGCTCGTCAAAAGCATCAAACACGTAGAATAGAGGTTCCTTTGCCGGAAAAACGTTTTGCTTGGCAACGTGTTTCTTCTCTGCGTCTAGTTTTTTTAGCATGGGGGGGTCACATCAAACTTCGCCATGTGCCATTTTCTGAGCAAGTTCAATCGTTTCTGGCAAACACTAACCGCACGAGTACAAAACGCCATCAGCGAGCTGAGTACCAAATTTTCGCGTACACGAGTCCAGAGTAGGCCATTGTTGTCACCTTCGATGCCGCTAGTAGTGCGCACCCCAAATAGTGGTAGTGGATCCCCATGCTTAGAAATAGTGCCCCAAGATTCATTCAGCCACGACAATTCCGCGGGCGTTGGCTGCATGTTACCAACCACGCACCAGGTGGTTGGATGGATGCGACAAAGGTACTCGTGTACGTATTCTTCTACCACATTGCCACCCGCACACTTAACAATGCCAGTTGGGTATCTTTTACGTAAGCGATCAATCGCAGCATCGTGTGCCTCCGAAGTCTCCGTGGATTGCAACTCGAAAATGTCGTCATTCAAACGCTCTTGATTCAGCTTCAAAGACTTAAATCGGTCCATGGTATTGAAGCAAATGTGCAACGAGCAGAACTTGAGATGAACCTGTAGACCGAGTTGGGCGAGGAGCACTTCAGCGCCTAGCTGTTTACCTCTATCACAAAAGGTAGGCCGGTCGTGCAAGTGTAACCCAGCCGCTACACAGTTCCAGAAGAACCAGGCGAAATTGTCGACAGTCTCCTTGTTTATATTCGCCACGGCAACAGGAACATTCTTCTTTTCTCCATCCTTTCCAATGAGGGTCAAACATATTCCATTTTAGCCCGGGTCCTTCATATGGGTTCCATCACACTCCCGTACTGGAAGGAGGCTATCTTGTAGCTGGACACCGCTTCCAATCGACAAAAAACTCCTAAAAAATCTGCCTTCCTCGTCTAGTTTAAGGCACACTCTTGAGCCAGTGTTTTTGGCTGCAAATTGGGTAAGAGAACTAGGTAGTTTACCGAATTCGTCGACGGGATCCTTCTTTTGGCCAGCCTTCGCCTTCCGAATGGCACGGTACACTAGGGAAGAATGCGCAGAGAGGTCGAAGCCGTCGATTTGTTTAATACTGTTCACTACTCGTGCCTTCGATGTGTTGTGTCCTTCCACGATGGCGGCCTTGAACCCTGGTAATTCCACAATATCTTCAAGCATGAACTTCGGTGACTACAGCAGCACTGACCATGTTGAAGATCGAGCTTGCCAATATATCAGGAACCTTCCGGAACGCCGGACAGCTTGGTCTTGGGCTTCTTGCGCTGTGTGTCGTTTGGGGTAGCTGAAGAACCTCGCTTCTCTGTCAACGTAATCGACCATGTACAGTTGCTATCAATGCAATACCAACGCTTCTGACAACCCGTGCCTTGTTGCGCTCAACTCCAAAGTTGTTATTCAAAGCATAACGTCTGATGAATCGCCCGGCTTCGGGTAAATCAGGGAAGTGTGCGTGCAGAACTGGTTCGTCGAGACCATGAAGACGCAGCAGATCGAGCCTTGACCTTGGCGCGCTTATGGTTGCAGCCCGGTCCGTTTTCGCGACTAACATCAACACCGGCACGTCTCTATTCCCTTAAAATAATTAACGAATCACATCGTTTGTGGGTCGCCCCATACAAAGTCCAAGTCGTATCATTTGTAAGGGGTTTTGGTTAATATAGGATTTTATATGGGGATTAGCTGTCCATAAGTTTTGTCACCTGGGCAGAACCAGTGATTTGTATGTGAGCTACCTGAAGAAGCGCAAAAGCGCGCGTGTTAGCAACGTGCAGATCTTTATCAGCGTGTTCTGCAACTCTGGTCCAAACCGCACCTTAAAACGATAAAAATTGACGAAGTTACAGCCATTTTTGGTGGTGTCCATATCTTTTTGTCGTGGAGTGTATGATACTGTATTTTCCGAGGCCTGCAGTGTAGCTAACATGTGTAGTTTTCAACCAACTGTTATTGTGCCTTGCATGCTTTCTGTCTAAACAACGACGTAATTCGTTGTTTTAGCAAATCACGGTGATTAGCCCATCATTGAGTTAGGAGGCTAACTCGTCGATTTAAGATAGAATAGCTGCTAAGACAACGAGTTAACGTTGAGTTATGCTCACTTTTGTTGAATGGCTGGAGTAAATCCAACAATACTACGGCACTGACATTCTAATTCTAACTCGCTCGCTTTGCCTGATTGCTTTCTAGTCGATGGTTGACATGCGTTGGCGATCTATCGTACTAAACTACGTCTACAATATTGAAGAACATCCCTGTTTTTATATCGAGGAGCTGCAAGCAGCTTTAAAGTCAGCGTTTCCTGCCCTACCAAACATTTCTAGTAGAAATTTTCTACTGCTACTATATGCCGTGCTCTGAAATTCGAGCTTGGTTTGACGCGCAAGGCCCCGACGAAGGGAGCGAAAGAAAACGTCCCCGCCGAAGCGGTGCCTACTATTATGCAAGGAGTTGGCGCCATTGTATCGGGGACCTTATCAGTTTGTTTTCTTGCAGCGACAACCGATTTATTCTTGCAGTGGCAACCGCTTCATTCTTGCTCTGCGTTGTGCTTGGTACTGGCGGTTGATTAGCTTAACTTTAACTTAGAGTTAGGCTGCGAGATATGATCACCGGGAAGGATTTGCTCGTTGGTTTAGAGCCCTTAATCGCATGCCAAAGTTCGTGCAAAGCACAATAGTTAGTGGCCGGTAATACCAGCTAACATGTTAGTGGAGTAAGGTCTTCTGCCAGTTTCGTGCCGTCCTTCGAACTTGCGGACTTGCTGTGGCATAACTTTTCATTGAATTGTCCATTCTGAAATCTGATTGCACCCACTAAATCTGCGCGATTGGGCTGAATTTATGTACTTCACGCTGGTCCGTGTAAATTTTGCAGAACTTCTTGTTATTGTTTTGAAAAGCTTGTTGATTTGGAGTGAGCTGCCAGTTTCCTGCCTCTTTTTGATAGCATTTTTGTATGCTATGCAAATCCTAGGAGGCTCATCACCGGAAATTGCATGTGACGCTGGAAAAATCTACCAATAGACTATTAATTTTTTTTAATATTCTTAAAATAAAAATTATAGTACGAGAGTTTAACAAGGAGAAGATGCTAATTGGCTAAAACAAGTAGGCACGGAGCTGGTTATAGGCACGCAACTGGCACCTTACCTTACACTAAATTTCGGCAACCTACAAGTATTCTCCGCGTATGTGTGTACCCATGCATAACCACCAATGTCCCAAGTACTACATGCACTCAAATGCGTTGGCCGGAGCCGGCTCAACACAGAGTGAACCTGAGAACATTCCTCCTCGGGGCAAATCATACCAAATAATTCCGCGGTATTGTGTGGGGCAGTGCTAGGGTGTCGCTCACCAGATAAAGTGGTGGTGGTCGGCCTCGTCGCCTTGGTCCACCTTGTTATCATCCTCGGCGTGCTTGATGTGCCGCGCCGGCTGCGATCGCCACATGACTTGCCTCCCCTTGCGTTTCTTGGGCGCCTGCATGCTTCTCTCCATGGACTTCTTCATGCGCTCCTCGTACATTTTCTGCTGCTGGGCGATTCGCTCTTGTCGGACGCGCTCGCGCCGCTCCTTCTCCTTCTCTTTCTCCGCTTTGGCCACGTAGTCCTCGGGCATTTGCTCAATTGCACTCAATAGATCCTCCAGACGAGCCTCCAGGTCCGTCAGCATGTAAAGCGTCGACGAGTTGGTCTCAGCCTCAAACCCACAACGCTTGTACACTTCCAGAACGCGGTCCTGCAGTTCCTTCAGCATCCGCTCCTGCGCATTCTCGCCCGTACCGCCTTGACTCCGCAGTCTCAACTGGCTGGCCTTACTCTCTTCCAGACTGATCTGCTGCTGCAGTCCGTCGACGTTGGTCTTGAGCGCTTGTGTCTTGCGGTCCATCGTCTTCTTCGTCTCTCGGTAGTTCTGCTTGAGCTCCTCCAGCGTCTGCTCCGTTTCTTGGCTGTTCTGGATGAGGAAGAGGTTGCTCTCCTCTAATGCAGTGAAGATGTCCAGTAGTTGTTGAGGGTTCTGGAAGTACATTGGGACCTCCTCTCCACTGCTGGTCAGTGGCATGCTGTCGAGGTTGGGCATCGGAGGCACGACGATCTCCTTCACCTTCACAGCTTTGTCCCCTGTCTTCTTCTTGCTATTCTTCGAGTCCGGACGCTCCTTCTCGGCTCGCTCTCGCTCTTCGATCTCAGCGAGGGCCTTGGCCTTCTGCAGCTCCCACTCACGCAGGATCTTGTCCTTGCGCTTCTGCAGACGCGCCATTTGGCGAGCTCGTTTCTTGTCGCGCTGCTCGATCTCGTACTCTTGCGGGGTGAGCTCGTCGAGGAACGCCTTGTACTGGAGGCAGTCTTGGAGCTGCTCGCTAAGCTTGGACATGTCACTTTGCACGAGCTGGATCTGCTGGTTGAGCTTCTTGATCTCCTGCACTTTGTCGGCCTTGGCCTTTGTCTCCTTCTCCGCGCGTTTGATGGCCTCGTGCGCCTTCTTGTCGTTCTCCTTCAGGAACGTGTCGAAGCGCACAGCATCCTCTTCGAGCATGAGCTCACTCTTCTTCAGAGCTTCTTCTTTCAGCTGAGCCTTTTCTTCCAGTTTACGGATCTCCTCGCGCTTCGTGTCGAGCGACATCTGCACTAGAAACATCTCGCGCTTCTTGGCGATGAAGTCGGCCATGTTTTCCTTCTCTCGAAGACGGTCATTGGAGATTGTAGCTGTCGCCGCGGCCACGAGACCCCGAGTTCGCCGTGACTGAGAGACCGAGTAGTTATCCAAACCAGTCGGCTAATATTTTTCACAACAACAACAACAACAACAAACATTTAGACGATGAGCATGCAATTGTGAAGTTGAGAGTGACGATATCTTTTTACCGTATCGTCGGAACGGAAGCGACGGATATTGCCGATCTTGGACGAGGCCGTGGTTTTATCGTAGATCTTGAGTCGGGAATTCCTGCTCTTCTCCTGTGTAAGGACACCCATTCTCTTAGCGCTTTGAGAAGTGGTGCAGTGGCGGCCAACTGGGTTAACTCACCTCCTCCTTCCGCTGCTTCTCCGTCTCGCGCATGCGGAAGACTTCCTCATCGGTGGGAAGAGTGAACGGGTTCGACTCGACCGTATGGTGCTCTACACACACGCGAAGAACGAAAGCAACGTTAGTAGAAGCCGGAGACTACCATGAAGAAGTGGGAGTCGCACCGGAGATAGTCCGACTTCTCTGCATCGTCTTCAAAGTAGTGTCCAGACCGCGACAAACTCGTTGTTGTGTGTTCCTGGTGGCCTTCTGCTGAAGAAGGGCAATGCCAATGCGTTGGGTTATTTCCAGTCTTTTTAACTGCTCGGCTTGAGCTTGCTCAACTTTGCCACTGAAACGCCTCAAATGAAGGTGACAGGACTGGTCTCAACACAACACCTAGATCTATCATTACATTCGCACAAGACTACCATGATGGAGCCTGCAGACGAACTTCTTCTGAGCGAAGCTACCCCGCTCTCGCATGTCGTTGAGAAGGATCCTCGATGCATCAACCACCCAGAGCGTCGAATGGTATTCCACTGTAGACCCGATCTAAGTGGTCGTAGATTGCTCTTCCAGGACCGGAATTCCAGCCCCAACTCGAGGGAACGACGTCAACCAGCGCCTGTGCAGCTCTTGACAATGGACGGACGTTCACACTTGGGGCTGCCCGTAGAAAAGAATTCCCCGGTTCCCAGCTCCGATTCATCTTTCTATCCTGGACAAGTCGATGACAAACTCGCGCGGGTGCTGTAAATGCTTGGATCGATCCCACAGCGAAACACCCCGCACTCTAACACTGCAAACTGCTCGTAGATTTTGGTGACAACCAACCCACTAACTGATGCAGCCAGCCAACGTCGGCTTCGTCGACTGCAGGTGACCAACCACGCACACAATTGATGCTGACACATTGACTTTCGTTCTGATTCTTTCATCTGCCAGTTCACTGTCATTGTTGCCGCAGTGGCCAACCTCGTGTTCACAGTCCTACTTCTTTGTCCAGCCGACACGGGTAGGTCAGAACGGTAGATGCTGCCAGACCGACCCACTCACTCTCCTGTTCTTGTCGTGCAGACGCCTGGTATCACGTCGACGCTTATCAATCTCCAAGAGGATCCGAGAATGTTGAGCGGGTGCTAGCGGTGCGCCCCAGTCTCATAGTGCTCGCGGTGGTCGGCAACAGCTTCTTCGTCCTGGCAGCGTACCTCAAACTGGACGCGCTGCTGTCGGTGTACATCTGTGGTACGAAATCTCCACTATAGCACCGTCAGTATCTGCCGTCTGAAGCTTCGGCCATACTGACCTTGCCACTGTAGCGGCCCTCGTGCTCGACGTCTGGTCGCTCGTGCTGCTGCTGCCCCACGCGCTCTTCCTCATGCGCTTCCTGTTCGACGCGTTGCTCATTGCTATCGCGCTGGAAGTGCGGACTCACCTGGTACCGTACCGTTATCACCAAATACCTCCCCTCTGCCTGTGACCAGCCAGCACTGGAGCTCACCCGCTCTCCCTCTTTCTCTCTGCATTCGACCACCACAGGAGCACACGTGGTTCCTCACGAGCTTCCACCGCCTCCGCGCTTGAGAGTGCGATGCAGGAGCCGAGAGCTACTATAGTAACACGGAATCTTATGCTCTGAGCGTTGGTGGTAATCTCGCCCATGCTCAGCTCCTCCTCCTCCTTCCTTCCCGCTCGCTCTTCAACCTGGCAAAAGGGTACGCCGCCGAGCTTCGTCTGCACGACGCCGGGAATGGACTCTCTGCACAGCTCGAGAGTGGCTCGATCGTCGGTCGCGCCGCGGCTGGACGCTCGGTCTCTGTTCGACTCGACTCACCGTGGCGCTGGAGGGAGACCAAGGACGCTTCTCTTCCTTCTCTTCCTTCATGTCAAGCTTAGCGATGAGAGTGAGAGAGAGGCCTGCGCATTACAAACCTGGCACTCGCTCACCGAAATGCGGCAATCGGAGGTGGATTTTACACGGCGGACCGTCGTTCGGCAACGGCAACGCGGCGACGTTGGTCATTGTCGCCTCGCATTCCCGTCCGCCAGCTGGCTGCGCCGGACATGGACAGTGTACCCATCGGCGGACGGGGTCTCTGCTGTGAGACTGCGGCAAAATCTAACCAGAGCCGACGGCCTCGTGCCCCGTTTCGGCGCCCGCCGCCAGCGGAGGAAAAGAGCGGCGGTGGGCGACTGCGATCATCGACACGCCGGATCTCTCTCCTCTCTTCTCTCTCTCGTCGGCGCCAAAGTCCGCACTCGCTCGCGCTCGCCTCCGCTGGACTATCGCCACACAAAAACGTCTTGTCGCGTTCAGTCTGCCCTGCAGAGCTAAAAAGCATCCGACCAAATGGCCATCAGCTAGAAGGCGCCATTTAGTACATGCAGCATACATGCACCAGCTCAACCGATTCCACGTCAACCTTGACTTCGCTCGCGCCCCCTCATCCCCTTCACTCGCTTTCAGTATGCCCTCCGTCTGCGACGTGTGCACACTTGCTCTTCCATCGGGAGAGACCACTCCCGCCGTCATTGGTCCAAAATCCCCATTGGCCGAAAACCCTCACATAACAAACCGCATACTTTTTCGCACTCGCGACACAACAGGCAGGCAGTCAGTCAGTCGCTCTTCCCCCTCCGTGCAGACGTCCAGAGCGTCCGTCAGTAGGGCAGGCAGCCATGTACGCCGGGGACGCCGCCGCCGCCGCCGCTGATGGCGCCTCCGCCATGAGCCACGAGGAGCTGCTCGCGCACCAGCTCGACCTGCACCAGAAGATCCAGCAGCAGATGCAGCTGCAGATGGAGATGAGCATGCAGCTCGGCGCGCGCCAGTCGCTCACGGCGTCGCTGGCCAAGGTGGAGCCCGACCTGGGCGACAACGTCTTCGACATGCTGGACGACCTCATCATGATCCCGTCGGGAGCCGTGGCGCCCGAGCGCGGCTCGCTGTCCAAGGCCGCGCGCGAGCAGACGATGGACGTGCACGTGGGCGGCGGCGAGGACGACGACGACGACGAGCACGAGCCGCCCGCCGTGGGCTCCGGCAGCGTCAGCAGCGCGCGCGACAGCCTCGCGGACATCCTCGAGAGCCTCGACATGGACCTGGACGACGACCTGAACGACGACACGCTGTCGTCGGGAAGTGAGCGCGCGCGCAGCGCCAGCGACTCGCTGGACGAGGACGATCTGGACGACCTGGACCTGGACCTGGACGCACAGGACCAGGGCGTGGACGGAGACGACGACGCAGCAGCAGGAGACGACAAGACGGACCCCAACGAGAGAGCGCCGCCCGAGGAGGACTTCGTGCACTTGCGGCGCTCGTCGCTGGACCTGCTGGCGTCCATGAGCGGCAGCGCCTCGAGCATGTCGAACAACGCCACGGGTAACATGTGCACGCTGATCTGGGAGGGCGGACTGCTGGGGCTGCGACTGCGCCACTCGCAGTCGCGGATGATGCCGGCCGTGTCCAAAATCACGGGCAAGAGCTCCATCTTCGGTATTCACCTGGTGGAAGTGGGAGATTTGTTGCTGAGGATCGGAGACCGAGTTACGAGGGATATGGACTTCTTGGAGGCGATCGAGTACTTGAAGGAGGCGCCCAAGCCCTGTAAGCTGGTGTTCCGACGACTCATGGCCGACCCCATGGCCGTGAGGCCCGTGCAGCCGAAGGTGAAGAGTGCGATTGGACTGAAATTGGCAGCCAAGTTCGAGGAGCTGACGGCTGCTGAGAATGAAAAGTTCCCGCCACAACCGGCCGTGAAGCTGGAGGCCAAGTACGAGATTAAGTGGATTGACGGACCGTTAGGCATTAGTCTCATTGCGAGCAAGGACGTGCCGTACCCGCTCGTGACGCGCATTACGGGCAAGAACAGGTCGCCACAGGTGCAGGACGTGCAGCCAGGACATTACCTCGTGCAGATCGGCAGCTACAATACCGCGGACGGCAACTTTAATACGGCCATCAAGTTCCTGCAAAAGGTGCAGAAGCCCGTGTCGCTTTTCTTCTGTCCAGGCAACAAGAAGGTTTCGGCGCGTCCGGAGCCGACTGAGGACGAGTACGACCACATTTGGGAGAAGAAGCAGCCGCTGTGCTTCACTGTGCGGCCGAATGCTGCCGGGAACATGGTGGTGGCGGACCTGGGCAGCGCCAAGTCGATAAAGGTGAAGATTAAGGGGGCTCCGAACAACGTGGCAGCGTTTGTGAGCTCAGGGGACCGCATCATGTGGATTAATGACGATAGTGTGAAGGACCTGACCTTCCATGAATCTCTCCTCAAGTTGCGCACAGCCAAGCGGCCACTGGTTATTCGGTTCAAGAAGGGCTCTCCCGAAGATGCGGTCGCGGCGCTGTCTTCCTCAGATGTACATTCGGCGTCCAAGTTTACGGCATCCACGTCATCACTGGCATCTTCGTCAACGTCCGTATCTTCATCCACGTCTACGCTGTCATCGTCGTCCTCTTCATCGTCCTTGTCCTCGTCTAGTGCGAGTGAAAAGGCACCTCCCGCTCCCGTAGTAACACCACCGAAGCCCGCGCAGTCAACCCCGACATCTTCGCTGCCTACACCACGAAGCTTCATTAATCCGCTCAAGAAAATGAGTGTTGCCCTGGGTAGCCACGCGCGGGATAATGCCAACAATGGGTCCAATGCGAAGTCGCACAATGATCACCGGAAGACTCAAGACAGGCAACCCCACGCGTCACAGCAGCAGCAGCAGCAGCTACACGCGTCCCAATCTCTACATTCGTCGCACTCACACCAGCATACTGCAGGGCAGGACGCTGCGCAGAGCAAATACCGGGGCCATGCTGAACAGGACGCTAAACGCTCGGCCCACGACCCTAGACATACCAACAGTGCATCAAGAGTAACACCGCATGGCACAAGGGGTCACTACCACGCTGCTCCTGTAATGCTGACGACCAAGGACCCGTCTCCTCGGTCTGCCAACAGTCCTGACCACGGCAGCGGGCATCGGAATGATATGATTCATCGCGTAGCAGATGCACAAAACAAGCTGCGCAACCTGGAAAACACGTTACGCAAGTCTCCGCTGGCCAAGTCTCCCAGTGACCCGATCGACAATGAGACGCCATTGAAGCCGCTGTCACGGAGTGGTAACCGCCACGGGTCTGCGCCGCAAATGCCCACGAACGAGTCGACTAAGTCGAAGGAGAAGGAGCTGGAGAAGGACAACGATGTGTACGAGGTGATTTGGCCAGAGGGTACGGCACTGGGCTTGACGCTGCGTGTGCATCCGACGACGCGGTTCCCCGTGGTGGCGCGTGTGACCGGTACAAGCAACCTCAAGAACATTGAGCACGTGTCTCCTGGCGATATTCTCTTCGCGGCGAACAACATGAACATCGTGCCGCAGCCCAAGTTCAAGCAGACACTGGAGAACCTGTCGCGCCTGCCGAAGCCCGCAGTGCTGCGCTTTCGACGCGCATCGGCCGCAGCGTACGCCGCAGTACGGTCCGATGAATCGGACCAGGCTTTGCCGCGCGGACCGTCGCTGAAGGACCGGGAGTACGAGCTCATCTGGCGGGAGAACGCCAACCTTGGCCTCGTGTTCAGCTCCGACGCAGACGTGCCCAAGGTGACCAAGGTGGACATGGACTCGGGCGGCCCCATGCTGCACAAGGTGTCGGTCGGAGACGTGTTGACGTGGATCGGGCCCATGGAGATCGGCGGCTCGACGTTCCACTCGTCCATGGCGACTCTGCGCGCCGTCAAGCGGCCCGTCGTGCTGCGCTTCTTCAAACGCGGGACATGATGGAGTGAGTTATGTCGATCGCACCACGAGGTCGGAAGTCAAGTTGGACACGAAATCGTAGTACACACCTACAGTAGTTAAACAAGAGGGGGGGAGGAGGGGGGAGGGAAGTCGCGGACGCAGCAACAGGAACCGGATTGTAAGCTCTCGATGTTGTTAGAAGACGGGGCCTCGACCCGCCCCGCAAAAGAAAATGTCATTTTGGTCGCTGTCATCGCTCGGTTCGTCTTCTATTGTCTGAAGTCCTCTGTGAACAAAACCCCAGTATGTACAGATCCAACGAATGTAATAATTAGGCGTGTGCTTATTGTATGGCTCCCTCCCTCCGTCTTCGCTCTCCGCTCTCATAGGCACGTCGCTTGCTAACGGCTAACACGACCCGAGCGCTCCTCTCAAAACATGCCGCCGCCAGGGGACGAGGAGTTGAAGCGCTCGAACTTGGCGGCCAGCGCCTGCTTCTTGGTCAGGATCTCGTTGCGCGAGTTCTTGAGGTCCGTCGACACGTCCGTCACGTTGATCGCGTCCATGAAGTTGGCCAGCAGCGGCGCCTTGACGTTGGACGACGGCACGCTGATGCCCGCGGGGCCCGTGGGGGTCAAAAAGTCCTCGATCGCGAACGCGTAGTGGTGCGCGACGGCGAAGCCCAGCATCTCGACGCAGATCACAAAGTCGTTGAGCGCCGAGGCGATCTTCTGCGCGTCCCAGCAGTCCGGGCAGCCGATGTGCCACTTCTCCGAGATGACGCCGACGCTCACGAGCATGCTGATCATGATCGACTGCCAGTAGGTGAAGAAGATGATGGCCTTAATGGCCAGGAACTTGGGCCACGGCCGCATGGGCTGCAGCTCCTCGTTCGCGCCGTGGAAGAAGATGAGCAGGCAGTAGAGCGCCCACGTCTGCGAGGCGCTGAGGATGAAGCACACGTAGCCGTAGCTCACGAGCGGGTTGAGCAGCTCTCCTTCCCCGTAGACGCCCGCGAGGCTCGTGATGAGCATGACGATGCTCATGAGCAGCTTGATGGGGATGTACTGCAGGATGCCGATGGTCGTCTGGCGCAGGAACTTGCCCCCCATGGACCAGGGCTGCACGCAGCAGAAGGGGAACACGTGCGTCATCTGCGGCTTGGAGCGCATGGTGCTGGCCAGCACCGACTGGCCGCCCAGGTACTCGACGAGGAAGCAGTGGAACGAGTAGAGCGCGAAGGCCTCGTACAGGTCGCGCACCGTCTCGAAGAGGAGCTTGGACTCGTTGAACACCAGCGCCATGTAGGACGTCAGCGCGTAGATCGGCACCATGAGCAGAATGCGGATCACGTGCTTGCGGATGCCCGCCGACGGGTTGTACAGCAGGTGCGTCCAGATCAGCCACCCGCTCAGGATGATGGCCAGCAGCGTGAAGGCGCCCGAGATGGCGTACGCCAGCGTCTGCAGCTGCATGGCCCGCGGCGAGAGGAAGCGCTGGAGGTCCGACCTAATCTGGTTTATCTCTGCCGCCCGAGGAGGAGGGACTTGTTGTATGGATCGGTTTGGAGAGGGGTTGGGTGGACCACGTAGTATGAATGCTCTGTTTTACAGTAGTACTGTACGTCCTAAAAAGTATTAATATTTGTACCTAGTCATAACAGTTCATGTAATAGAAGGAGGCAGGATTTTTTTTTGGTTTGTGAAAGCTTTGTGTTCGTCCTGTGGTGCCCGAGCTCGAAATGCAGTGGAACGTGCTTTCGGTGTCAAGGGCCGCTTGAACCATGTAGATTTGTGTCTCCACCACGAAACGAAATAGAAGCACAAGTTGTGATTTACACTCGATACTATTTCGACACGCCGGTGCTGCTTCGCTAACTTAGCTCGTTGTGAACTTAACTGGCGGTGCAGTTGTCAACGTGCTGCTGCATGGTGGGCGTGGGGACGAGCATGTCGAGCTTGCACAGTGGGCAGACTTGGAGTTTGTGTTCTTGCGCGGGGCAGAGTTTTTCTTGACGATGCTTCTTCAGGGCGGCGGGGGAATCGAACGACTCGAAGCAGAAGCTGCACTTTGAAGGCGCTGCTGGTTTATTCACGTCGATTGTGGCGGTCACGACGCCCACGTGGAAGGGTTTCGATGGGGTTCTCTCACTTCGCAGCAGTAGTTCGTCGTACAGGTCGAGAAGAGCCAATGCGTCTGCAGCAGCGTAGTGTATCTGACTAAGCTACAAGGGTCTTCGCCCCCAGTTGGACAGTTGCTGTGACTTGGAGAGCCTCCGACGCAGGTAGAAAAACACGAGCTTCTGAAGGCTAATGGGGAGGTGTCCTCCGGTAACGACGGCGAACATATCGTTCACCTCGACAAAATTCGCGCAAACGGTGAAGCACGGAGCGTTCGGGTACGACTGGGCCAGCCCCTAGTTAAACATGGAAGTCTTTGTTAGTGGCGGTAGACTTGAACTCACGTAGTGCCGCTGTCAAACCTGCAAGTCGAGATGGAAACCAAGACCCAGCTTGAGGACGTCGTCGGACAGGAAGACTGTCGACAGTGTCGGGCTGGAGAGCTCAGCTGAGAGACTCAGCAAGTCGAGGATGAAGACTTCCTCTTTGTTTTCTGCATCGCGCACTGCGAGCTGCAGCAACGCACACGGATTTGGGGCTTGAGTCTTGTTGAACACTGGGCGCGTCTCCTGCAGGAACCATTTACATCGCGCCAGGTCAAGAAACAAAAAAAAAATGCAAAGTTCCATTAAAGTTTTGACTTCAAACTCACCGTGTCCAGGCCCACGACCTGTGCTCTCAGCAGGCGGCCTTCGCAGTACGCCCAGTCCTGCGGCGTCGCCACGACGTAAATGGGCACTTGCGACTGGTCGATCCCGTATTGCGGCGCCTGCCTGATTAACTCCATCACTAGAGGCTTCTTCTTCACCATGGCTTCCGCTGCATGTGTCGGGGCTACTGCGTAGAACACCCTGGTGTAGACACTACAAGCTCGCCGCTTAGCACAAAAGAAACACCCCCAAAACTAACCGAGATGGCTCAACCGCCGGATCGTGCCTCTTCGAACCCTGCTGCAGGCACTACAGTACGTGTCACCACCACTGGGCGAATGTTAGGCTTTCACAGAGGTAGTATTTGTCACGTGTAAGTTTACGAAAGCTCAAGACGTCGTCTTGATGCCGTCTGCGCTTAGTGGCGACGCGATTTCTTTTTCTTGGACGAGCGGCGGTAGTCTTCATCGTCGTCGTCGTGTCCACGTTTCTCATTGCGCATGCGATCGGACGCCTGCGCCTCCTTCTCCAGTTCGTCCCACGAGGGAGCATCTTCCTCCTCTGACACTTCCTCTGACGACGAGTCCTCGTCAACGATGGACTCCCAGTCGGACCCGTCCGAGTCGCTCGATTCGCTGTCATCGTCGTCATCGTCAGAGCCGCCCGAGTAGTTACTGTCTCCGGCTTCCTCCTCGTCCTCGTCTTCGTCGTCAGAGCCTTCCATCTACTCATCGAAACACAATGAAAAGGAACTGTAAGCCAAAGTGATTTTATACATCAATATCAACGAGCCACAACGCACCTTCAGGAATTCCCAGCCAGCCGGCTTCGGCACACCGTCATCGTCTGTGTCCAGGTAGAAGCGGTGGTCGCTCTTGATCGTAGACATGATACTCTTCCAGTTCAGGTTTGCAGTACCCGTGGTGAAGCAAATGTCAATGTCGTCCAACCACTCCTTGATCCGCTCCAGCTCACCCATGGACACTGCACTGATACGTGTAGGCATAATGTCAAAGTTTTTGAAGACGAACACCACGTCAAAGTTCTTGGACGAGAACATGACACGCTCAAAGTGGACGTGCTCCACCTCGTCCAGCGAAATGATGAAGAACGGCATGTCCGTCAGGCTCACAAGGCAGTGCACAGACGGCTGCAGCAACACCATTTCCTTGAAGGGCGTACCCATGAAGCCGAGCTCGCGGTAGGGAATATCAAACACCACCGGCTTGCCGTGCCTCTCCGACACGCTCTCCATTTTGTGACAGAACTCCTTGAATGTTGTGTTGAGCTTCTCACGCAGTGCACGCTCACGGTTCTCCTCATCCAGCTCATCAGGATCGTACATCGATCGCCGCCGGTTGTCGAGCGTCTGCGAGCCCTCGATCACCTCCGTGTAGAACTGCACGTCCTTCTGCTTCTTCTTGCCGATCATAATGTGGTTCTTCAGGTGGAAGTGAATCAGCACCACGAGTTCCTTGTCGCACGGCTGGAAGATAGCGTGCTTGATATTTGCGTACAAAATGTCGAGCTTCTGGTTCTTGTTCGTCGTAAAACGCACACCGTTAGAGTGCGCCTCCAGCGTACCGTGAGTCTTGCGGCCTGTCAAGTGCGGACGAGCTGACAGGTCAATCAGACGCGGCACACGACGGTCCCGAGTCAAAACCAGGTCTTCCTGCACAACCAGATCGGACTCTTCCTGCTCTCGCTGCTCGCGCTGCTTCACACGCTTTTGGAGCTCCTTGATCAGACGGAACTGGTTGTTCAGGTTGTGCGCGTCAGTGGAGCGGAAACCAAGCTCCTTGATGAACATCTTGTTGGGGAACTTGGTGATAGCATTCGCCATGGCAGGGAGAACGTCACGTCCCAAAGACGTTCCAGGCACAAAGAAGTTGATACGCAGGTACGTAGCCTTATCTTCCTCCGACTTGCTCACATTCTTGATCGTCGAAATGTGGAACGGCACCGGCACACCGTTGATTGGCAGAACGACCGCCTCCGCACGCATGTCCACCATCACCTGGCGCTCGCGCAGTTCCGAGGGGTAGTCCTGGGGTCCGTGGTAAGCCTTGATGCTCTTCTCCTTCTTCGGGTCGTCCGACTTGTCGTTGTTCTGCTCCTCCAGTCGTCGCATGGCCTCTTCTCTCTTCCTGCGCATGAGCTCAGCCTGGTGGCGGTCACGACGCTCCTGATCCGTTTCCTTGCCTTCCAACTGACGCTGCTGGTCACGGAGACGCGACTGAAGCACCTGGTTGCGCGTGCCTGACAGTGAGGTGTCCACGGAGCCGTGGACGGAGCTGTCCTTGCTCTTGCTCGACTTCTTCTTGGACTTTTCCTCCTCCTCGTCGTTGTCGTCTTCGATATCGTATCGCACCTTGCCCCACGCCTTGGGCACTTTGGTGTAGTACTTGGTCTCGTTCTCCAGGACCACCACAGTGTCAGCCAGGAACACGGCGTAGGTCTCCAGTTTCTTCTTCTTGCGCTGCGAGTCCGGGATGGGAATGTCGTTGAATCCGAACGCGACGTTGAAGGCCATGCCCTCCTTGATCACCGTCTGGTTCTTGGTCGTCAGCAAGTTGCACGACTCGCGGAACTCCAGTCCAATACCGAAGCCCAGATTCTTCGTGAGCTTACCGAACAGCGTCGCGTTCCTGGACTGGATAAACTTGCGCACCTTCTCCACAACTTTACCCACCACCTTGCCAGGCTGCAACTCTTTGACACACATCTCGTGGGCCTCGCGCAGCAGCTCGTACGACTTCTCCATGGAGCTCGTCGGGTCAATGAAGAACGTGCGTCCCACATTCGAGCAGTAGCCCTTGTACCTGGCTCCGAGCGAGCAGATGATCACGTCGTACTTCATGGGGTCCTTGTTGCTCTGCGCGCTGGGCTTGAGGTCGTACTTGCCTCCGGACTGCACAATGGGCGGGTAGCAGGGCTCGATATCCACTGGGTCGATCGTCACCTTGATCTTGGACGGGTTGTCGAACACGTCCTCGATGGCCATCGAGATCTTCTCGTGGCTGATGGACTTCTCGTCGTCGATGATTTGCTCCATGTCCTCCATGAACTTGAGCTTGAACACCTTGCTGGAGAGCGCGCCGGCCCAGCGGATGTTCTCGAGCTCCTCGCTCTCCTTGACCGTGAGCACCGTCTCGATGCCCTTGCTCACGTCCAGCTGCTCGACACCGTCCGCGGCTGCCAGCGCCTTCTTGAAGCTGGCCACGAGCTCGCCCAGCGGGTTCTCCTTGGTCAGCACGCCCGTCTTGGGGCCGCTGGCCTTGATGGCGTCCGTGAGCACCTTAAAGTTGGCCTGGTTGCCGTCCGCCTTGTTGCGCTTGAGCAGCTCCAGCTGGACGTCGGCGCCGGCGGCGTTCTCCTTGGCCACGGCCTCCAGCATCGCATACTTCTTGCCGCCCGTGAGCACATAAAGTTTCGCAGGCGTGAACACCATCAGCGTCTCCGGGAACTCGAGGAAGCCCAGCAGGTAGATCTGTAGCACCGCCGACTTGCGGTAGCCCGACTCCTCCTGCTGCGCGCGGCCCGCGAGCACGCAGAACGAGTCCACGCCGCCCCACACGGCGTCATCCTTGCGCTCCTGTTATAATAGAACCCACGTCATAACGGTTAGACTGTAGCAAGTTATGTTAAATAAGAGGCTGAGCGGGTCTGCCTTGCCTTCCAGACGCTGTAGAGGCGGTTGAGCCGCCGGAAGAACATGGTCGCGTTCAGGCGCGGCGCGCCGCTGGACGCGGGGGCGGTGCCGTTCTCCGTCTTGACCTCCGTCTTGACCTCCGCCTTGACCGTCACCTTGTCGCCGCCCGCCATGGCAGTTAAGAACAACGCGCGCAAGCCACTCGAATCGCCTCAGAGCGCGCCAAATGTGAGTGTGGTTTTGGCGGCACGCCCCTTTTAGCGTTTTTTCTATCGGAGGATAATTTTGACCAATGCACGGTGTGGAAATAGCAATGTTTCTATAATAGGTAGAAATTAGATCAAAATAGTTATTTTTCCAAATGGTGGACCAGTGGGGGCCTTCAGAAAATCACGCAAATCACAATTTCGTCGCAATTTGAGAGCGATTTTGCGTTCACCTACACCTAGATTTGCGTTGGGATTGTGAGCGCCAAAATCACCAGCAAAATGCAACCACAGAGTAGGCAAGTTTAGGCGGCGACAAATAGTCTATGGAGAGGATTGCAACTCCAGGGCTTAGCGGAAAACACTAGTAGCGATAACGAGCTATTCAGTGATATGCATTACAATGTATGAAAACGATGGTAAGTGCATCGAATAGCATTCGCAAAATCACTCGCAAATTGCAGAGACTCCAAAATAGTCTCCGCAAATTGCGACTGGTTTTGCGACCGCATCGGCGCATTTTGCTACAGGATTTGCGTTTGTCGAATTTGCGATTTGCGTGATTTTCTGAAGTCCCCCAGTGATTTGGTAGAATATCGTGCCCGTTTGGACACAAGGAAATTAACAGCAAAAAATTACAATAGGATATGTCCAATAGAGTTCCGCAATGCCAGTATTTTACCCAATCAGCACACCGTAAATTGTACATGTTTGAGAAAGGCCAACTTTCAGACAGTTCGGACATATTTTGTCCGAACATCATATAAATATTTGATATTTTCATAGTAAAGGTCAGTAAGTAAAATATTGCAAAAATATTGTCAGTATTCGGACATATATTAATTCCGAGAGGGCCAGACAGACGAGACAGCATAGCCACTCAAGAAACGACTCATGTCGACGAAGGCGCTCATACCTGGGAACTCCCAGTGGGCTCGCGCGACGGCTCTCAACGCCTTCGAGCGCTTCGCGGTCGCGGAGGGCTTCAGCGCCAACGCCATCTATGAGTTTGTAGGTGGGGACTCAACGGGGGATATTCTGTACATCGTTCTCGACAATTTTGCAGTGTATCTAGCATTTAAGGAAAGCTCAAAGGGCTTGCTGCTGTCCAAGAACTCGGTGGCTAGCTACTTTGGCAACGTCAAAAACCACCTACTGGAGCTGTTTCCTGCTCTAAGTGCTGTGTCAGGTCGTCGGCTACAAAAGATTGCATCGATCCTGTATAAGTACTGCTCTAAGCGAGGCACAGACTTCACGCACCAGGCCCCACCATGCACCAAAAGCGATCTGCGCTCGCTCAGTTTGGCGATTTTGAAGGGGGCAGCTTCTGCGCAGGACTACCAGGATGCAGCCCTCCTCAACATCCTGTGGTGTTTGTTGGGTTGACCTTCAGACACTATGCGTGAAAAACCAGGTCGCCGTTTATCCTGGTAAGTGCATGTGCTAATAATTTGCCTAATTGTTTTTAACCTTGTATATTCTGTTTGTGTATTGCGTTTGTGGTGGTACACAGGTGGGTGTCTGTTTATCACCTTTAAACGAACGAAGTCCGCATCGGCCGCCACCCCGCCCGAGGACCAGCCGCAGTACGACCCGCCGCCCCGCACGGCGCCAACGTCCCGCACGTCTTGCTGTTGCTGCTGCTCCTGCCGACGGCCGCTGCTCTCAGGCCGGTGTCCGCCAAACAGCCGTAGTTCGCCTGTCCGCCCGTGCCAGAGGAATGAAAAAGATTTATGTAAACCACACTTCATGGACCACATTCAATAGGATCGAATTTCATAGGTTGTCCGAATGTCCGAGCTGTCCGATCCTGTCCGATCCTGTCCGAACCTGCACTGTATGGTACATGGGTACTGTGGGTCCTACTGTACCGGTTGTGTGGAAGCGTTGCGCTTTACCAATGCAGGTACCTTGTAAACTACCACATAGGTACGTCTACAGATGACCTCCGTCTAGGTCATCGTTGTCGTTAGCCATGAAGTTAAGTGACATCAATGTATTATGCTTTGCATCGAGTTTGCCTTACTATTTAGTATGTTCGTACTTCGTGGTAAATTATAGTGGCCTTGAATGCAAGTTGCTCAAATCGTGTTTCGAACCCGGTTTGGCTCGGAAATGGTACTTTCTAATAGTGCCAAACGGATGCTTATTCATACTGGATGTGCTGAGCATGCAGGAGATGGCATATGCACACTACTTAGTGCTGATTGACAATCCACGACTTACAGCAATTCGTACTCGAGAACGATTTATCAATAAGTTGTACTCGATAAGTCGTACGAGTTACAGTCCGAAGTGCCAAAAAGTCTGCAAAACACAATACCTCAATGCCAAAACAAAACAAAAGCTTCGTGCCCATATTAAATTAGCCGTCGTCGGCGTGGCCTCCGCCAACACGAACGCGTCTGTGGTCATCTACCGAAAGGTTCTGCTGGCGTTCAAGAGCGTAAAGACCTACATGGAGTGGTGCATGGGCAAGCGGGGCCAGGACACTCGGCCGTCTTGCACATGGGCTCGTGTATGCTTTTGTTTTTGAATTGAGGATCCATTGATGCCACTTAAGCTAATATGTCCTCGTATATGCTGGTGCCCTGCTTTTTCCTTGTTGTTGAATAACACACCGCTCAACAACGTGTTTGCTCAGGCCTCCAGCACCACTTACAGAGTCTACTCCATGACGCTCATCACGAGCCTCATGTGCCTACCCTTGCGCCTATTTGATGCTCAAGGAAGGCATCGATACCGCGTTTAGCTCACACTGTACTCCTGTTAACAGCCCTTGATCGTGATACGCGCGCGGTGCTAAACCACTGTGGAGTAGCGATCTCGCACAAACTCGGCGCGTCTGGATAGCTGTCGCGCCGAGCAAATTATTCCCGGTTGTTGGAGTAGCGTATCTTCGAAAAACAGGCCCAAGTCTTCGCAGGCTTCAGAGTGGGGGGGGTTCTTGTGTTGACGCTTGTTCCTTGTCGTAGGGCGTCGAGCCTTGGGCGTGCGGCGTTATCGGGCCGGCGTTTCCTGGGGCTTGTGTGGCGTTATTGGGCCTACACGGGGGGTCTTGTGCACGGCGGTTATCAGGCCAGTGCGGTCCTTCGCCTAGGCAGCGCGTTATCGGGTGCCCACCTAAACGGTATACGTTTAACGTGCCTTTGTTCCAGCATGGGTCTGTGGGGGGGGGGGGGGGGGGCTGAGCACCCGGACCAGCAAACGACGGGGGGCCGCAATATCGAGGCGGCTATACTTGCCGGCGCTTGGTGGTTCCCCTGGAACCTCGGAGAAGACGGGAGGTCTTTGTGGTTCAGAGAAATTTCGGGACTGAGTCCTCACCGTATCCAATGTCCTTGCTACTGGCTATTATGTACTACTGCTTGCAAAGTTTACCGTTCTGTGCCTATCCTGACTTCTGTCGTGCTTGCACTACCGTCCTTCAACGTGATTTACGTGGCGCAATCAAGATCTTACCTCGGCGCGTTTTGGTCGGCGGAGGTTAGGGTCGGCACGTTTTGCTCGGCTGGGTTTAGGGTCGACGCGTTTTGCAGAACCGGGCGCGTTGGTCGACCCGTCGGATGATTACGCGTCGCACTGGATTCTGGCACCGTGTCTCACAGCCCATTACCCACGCCGACTTTCCCGTCGAGCTCGGTCCTGCGTCGCGACCATCAATCCGGGTCGCGTTTCATCAGCCGCGTCGAGGTCCATCACTCGCGTCCGTCGACATCCATCTCGGCACCTTCTTCCTCCGGCGCCCAGCGCGCCCACTTCTTCCGCGGGGTACTACACCACACCACTTCGCCGTTGTGGTTGCGCTTCTGCAAAAAGACTATTCAGAATGTTCTTGCCCTTCGGGTGCTCCACCAACACCCACGCATTGTTGCGCATCAAGTCATAGTACTCCTTCTCCGAAGACTCTACTCACTTCTCAGCGTCGGGGCCTTGCAGGGCCTCGGAAACACTTAGCGGCTCCACGAGAACACTCACGGCCTCAATAACTAAGCTCACGGGAATCTCCACTTCGTTATCCTGGAGTCGAACATTCGGACGTCGAATCAGGGTAGAACGGTGTAGCAGCCCTTGAGGCTTCACCTCTCCACCCATCTGCTTCGTCATCGTCTTCATCTTCACTGTCATTGCCTATGAAGCCTTCATATTTCGGGAAACATCCCAGCAGATCAGCGGGACCTTCCAAGCTAACACCCGCGTCACCCATCTCAACGTCACCATCGGCAACCTCAATGCTTGCAGCATCACTACTGCCCTGGACCCCCACTGAACGTGACACTCCATGATACAGCAGTGGTCCCGCCGTCTGCATACGACTGCTGTTAGGCGAGTTTGCAGCGTCCATTAATGCGTCTTTCACTACCTGAGTCTCCAAACGGAGGAGCGTTACCTCCCAGCCGAAGCACACCCTCGGGTGCCGACGGAGCCGCTGCCACAGCAGTGCTCGTCGGGACCTCTGGCCCACTCAACAGCCAACGTCCAGGCGCACCTAACGCTGACGGAGGAATCGGCCCGCTTCTCTCTCCAGTAGCGGCACCACCGTCAGCACGATGTCCACAGGATTGACACTTTGATTGGCCATTGTCATCACTCTCAGGGCTGCGTTTCAGTCCTCGAGTCACAGGATGCACGACAGGTAGATGCACGTATGAAATGACTAATACGTGGTAGCCCTTTCCGTAGCAGTTAGACAACAACTTCTCCACATATGACGACTCCACAGTTCCAACTCAACTGAACGCGCTTCATTCATCTTCTCGGTCAGCAAGTTGAGTATCCGAAAGCTCTTCGAGTGTTTCGCATAGCCCACGAACAGCCCCGGCTTGCCAGGGTTATCCAGCGTAAAGATAAACGCAACGCAGCCCCACGTCCTCCTCAACGTGGACATGTCCGGTCGCTCATCGAAGCGGCGATAGTAAGGCGTCTCTCCACCAAGCGCACTGCTCCCACTGATGTTCATCACTTCAATAGCAAAGTTGAAGGCTTCGCCCCACAGTGACCACGGCATATTCACCGCGGTGCAGGTGCCGAATGCTCTCCGGTCTCGCGGTGAGCGCGATCGAATGGCTGAACAAGGGGGGGGGAGCAGTGGGTGCAGTGATGAGCATGGCTAGCGGGGCTGGAAATAATTTTCGTAATGCTCCTGGCAATAGCTGGCAAAATGGCGCAGGCAACTATGGCGGCGGGGGTAATTATGGCGGTGGTGGTAATCGTCCATACGGTGGTGGTGGCTATGATGGTCAAAATGCAGGGAATATCGGTGGTAAGAAGCCGATAAAGAAGTGCTACCATTGTAAGAAAGCAGGTCACCTTCGTCGCGACTGCTGGCACAACAAGAATAAATCAGCGAAGGTGGGCGCTGATGGGTCCGGCTCAAAGGCGCAGAACCAGAAGAAGAAGAAGAAGAAGAAGAAGGTAGACATCAAGAAGGAGGTGTCAGGTGTCATCGACCACATGCAGTGGATCAATAGTGCACGATGACACTAGCAGTGATGAAGACGAGGAACTGATAGGCATGGTGCAGAAGAACGAGTTGCAGAGCAATCCGAGCATGTGGATGCTGGACTCGGGTAGCAGTACGCACGTGTGCATCGATCGTGCTCAGTTCACTACCGAGCAAAGTCGCGGGCGAGTTTCAAAGTGTGGGCAGGTGATCTGACGCAGGGTGTGATGAGCAGCAGTGTTCGTGTTTGTACTCGTGATGGCAAGAGCCAAAAGGTCGTGAAGTTGCAGTTGGAGAACGTGGAGTATTCTCCGCATGGATCGACTAACCTCTTGAGCTTGGGTGTGATGGAGAAAACTGGCTGGATAATGTCGACTAATCCTCCCGATGAAGCAGAGAGAAAGGTGTTCCTAGATCGCGGCGATGTGCGGTTGATGTTCACCAAGCACGGCAAACACTATTGGCCGTAGGCAGTAGATGAGCAGGCTGAGGCGGACGCAGTGATGATGATGGCGGTAAACGCCGATGCCAACCCTCTCATGCGGTGGCATGAGCGTTTCGGACATTTGAATGTGGCTGCAATCAAGCACATGATGGAGACGGGTAAGGTGTCGGGCATGGATATCCCGAAGGAGTTGCTCAAGAAGAAGTTCACCTGCCTCAGTTGTATGTCGGCGACAGCAAAAAGAAAATCCTACAAGCAGAGCGCAGCAGAGAAGCGTGCGAAGGTAAATAACGAGCGACTCACGTCAGATACGTGCGATATGGGGAAATATTGACCAGGTCTGACCAGACTTCGATACTTCCAACTAATTGAAGACGAAGGTTCCCGCTACAAGTGATGCCTCCCGCTCAAGAAGAAGAGCGACGCGAACACCAACTCCATCCGGCTAATGACTGAGTTGCTGGCTCAAGATCACCGTATCAAGACAATGACTAGTGATGGAGGCGGTGAATTCGTGAACACGGAGCTGAAATTGTTCTGTGCGTCGCGCGGCATTAGGTTCGTCCCCACACACCTGTACACACCGGAGGAGAACGCGTTAGTGGAGAAGCTCAATGGCGTTCTCGTCGGCAAGATGCGCGCAGCAATGCACGCACCCAATCGACCTGATAGACTGTGGCCGGAGGTGCTTCCGTACATCGTAGATGTGGACAACATGAGCTCTGCGCGGGTGCTGAATGAGAAGACTTCCTCGGAGAAACTATTGGGTAAAGTGCCGGATGTGAAGAAGATTCGTGTGCATGGTTCGGTGGGTTTCGTTCATGTGGCGAAACAAAAGCAAAAAAAAACAAGTTGAGGCCGAGAGCTGAACCCGCGCTGCTATTGGTGTAACGGGGTTACACGCACAAGTGGCTACAGTCACTTGTTACTCTAACAGATGCGATGTCTGTTAGAGGTTTGAACACTTCCTCGATCTTGGTGTAAGGTACACCAATGACTACATACATTTACGACCACCACGACGGGTGGTCCATACACATTTAGGATTCCTATTGGCTGAAAGCAGCATCTTTTAGCCAATGAGTGACTTGCATGTTAGCAGAATCCTGCCAACCAGCCGTTGGCAGATTCCTAGTTTAGAATATTACATTTAGAGGAAGTCAGAAACATAAAACAAGAATAGCAGTTCTCATTTTAACCCAAAAACATTATTTGGATCGTTTATTTAGATTAATTTATACTCGGAGGCCCGAGTATAATTAACTTTAATTTAAACTAAGCTACGCTTCCTCACATACACGCGCACACGTGTAAGCTAAAGTAGTGAGCCAAAATAGGCCCATTACACCTGGTAGCACTTTGTAGTCCGTCCAACGACCGACTACCTGAGTTCGTACGTCACCGCACGAACGCGGAGCTGAGAACCTTCCCATGGATACAGAGGAGCCCATGGAAAGCTCCACTACGCCTGCAACTCACGTTGCACGCGCTGACTGTCCCCACCTGTCGGATCCAGAGTGGGAGGCCCTCCAACGACTGTCAACAGTCATTGGTGAGGCGGCTGTAGCTACGATGCTGCGTACGCTAACGCCGACAGAGCAACACGGTGTTGCTCTGGGTTTCATCCTGAAGGAGCAACGCGATGTTGCTGCTACTACCGCGGTGCCGTCCGGGACGACACCGCGCGCCCAATCGCTGAAGCTCAGCGTGAGCAATTACGTTGGAAGAGAGGGCGAGCCTCTCCTCCGTTGGCTTGTCGAACTCGACACTGCCATTGCGGCTCGACGCATCGTCGACCCGTTGTCGAAGGTCGCGTTCGCCATGTCATGTCTTGGCGGACGTGCAAGAAGTTGGGCGTATGGACGCCGACTCTCGGATCCTACGTGCTTTAGCACGTACGAGGGTTTCAAGGAAGAGCTCAGACAAGCGTTTAAGCCCCCGCAAAACGAGTTCCGGTCGAGGGCGGAGTTCCTTGACCTGCAGCAGGGCAAGCATGATGCCCATGCTTACGCTCAGAGAGCACGGTACTTGGTCTCGAACATCGTGACCAATCCGATCGACGAGGCGACCAAGGTCGTCACGTTCATGAAGGGACTGAGAGATGGGCCTGTGAAGACATATCTCTTCCGTGAGTACCCGAGTACTCTCGAAGCTGCAATCACTCTTGCAATGCAGGAGGAGTTTAGCCTACGGCAGGCTAAGCTGCATGCACATGCGCCGAGGCCACAGCCTCGCCCGATAGTGAGGACGGGAGGCCCAGAACCCATGGACCTCTCGAGCGCTGCAACTGCTGGACCCCAGCAGTCGCAAAGAAACAATGTGCGATGCTACCGTTGCGGTAGAATCGGTCACTTTGCTCGGGAGTGCACGGCCCCCGTGCACCAGTAGGGTGGCTATCGCGGCGGTTCCGGGCACCGCCGCAACCAAACGAAAAACGCTGGACGCCAGTAGGCGCGGGGCACCCTACTGGTAATGCAGTTCCGCGTGTCGACCTTGGACACGCGACACTGAGGACTGCAGCCCTCAGTGAGGTTCATTCTCACTGCAAGAACCAAGATGACAGGCCTGACCTTGTCATCCTGAGCGTGGAATCGATGAGAGCAAGCGGCTCTCTTCGTGCTGTGGTAGACTCTGGCGCGTCGAAGAACTTTGTTCGACTGCGAAGTCTATCAAGGCTTGACTTCGAGGATTTAAAGATACCTCGAAGTATGTTGCAGGTACGACTGGCAACGGGTGCCGTCGTGAAGACCGAGAAGCGCATGGTACACGTGCGCTTCACGTATGAAGACCAAGAGTTTGCCGAGACGTTTATCGTCCTGGATCTGGACGATAAGTTTGACATAGTATTGGGCATGCCGTGGCTTGCACGGCATGATCCGGTCATCGATTGGGAGAAGCGCACTCTCGTGCGCTTCGGTCGCGACAGCGGAACAGTGAGCGATGGCCCTGTTGCCGCTACGCACGCACCGACAGGTGCGCGCGACTTCCCACTCGAGACAGCGCCTAATGTCGCTGTCCCGGAGCGCCGTGGGCGCGCGCAAGAGCAGCAAGCGTCGGCGTCGCCGCCGACGGCTGAAGGAGAAAATGTGTTGAACTCGGAGATCGACACCCGCTTTTCAGCGAATCAGGAAGAGTCTCCGACCTCAAGGGGCACGGATGACGCAGGCGAGTCACACGCCTCAGCCGTGGAGGCTGACGCGAAGCTGATTGGATCGGTTTTGGCAAATAATAAGAGCCAAGGTGACGAAACGCCGTCAACTCCGGGAGTCGATAGCATGGACAAATTTGATTTCGCTCGGGGAGCCGACGCACCCTACGTAATGGGGGTCTCCGCCAATGGTTGGCGTCGAGGTACTAAAGTCGCGACGGTTCCGGGAACCGGCGCTGCGAAAAGAAGTTTCGCGTCGACTCCGGGAGTCGACGCACCCTTTGTAACGCAGGGCTCCGCCAATAACAGGCGTCGAGGTGAAGATGGCGTGTCGGCTCCGGGAGCCGACGCTGCAGGCGGTGCGGACGGTTGCAAACGTTCCGCACCGGAAAAAGTTGCATGTTGTCGTGCAGTCGGGCTGCACGACGAAGCGCCGGGCGACCAAGCCGGGCTTGAAGTCGCTCGCCCGCGGGATGAACCCGCCGGCGGTACTGAAGAAGAACACCTGTCCACGGCTGGGCCTGGACGAGGTCAAGAACCAAGCGGAGCCGGGCTCCGCAAAACAAGAAGACAGCGCATGCGAAGGTCGCTGCACATATCTCGGCCTGGGGCCGAGACGCTACAAGGAATGTCTGCCGGGCAGACGGAGGCTGAGAAGCCAGACGTCGAGACGTTGAACGTCTTGACGCGTACCTGTGCCGGGTTCCGGTACAGGGAGATGACTCTCGCTAACCCTCCGACGCAAGCGTCGGAGTTGACTTCGCTTCCAGTCATGAGCTGGAAGCGCTTCGCGCGTGACTTGCACGATGGACGCATCGAGCAAATATGCATTCTCTCGAACGTCGAGAGCGAAGAGCGAGAATGAAGAATTGAGGCAGTTCTTCATGGAGAGCACCACTGAGAGTGAGGACACTCTCAGTGCGAAGACTAAGAAGGAGCGCTTTGAGGAGCAGAGCTGGGACTCGCTGAAGTTGAGTCCCTTCTACGCGCTTCTACGGGAGCACGCGGACGTGCTTCCGGAAGAGATCCCTGCGGAGCTTCCGCAGGATAAGGGCATCCAGCACGAGATTGATCTCGTGCCGGGCACGAAGTACTGTGTCACGCGGCAGTGGCCACTGCCGCGAGAGCAGGTCAAAGCGATCGACGACTTCTTCGAAAGTCGTCGCAAAGCTGGACAAGTGCGGGAATCGAAGTCCCCGCACAGTGCTCCGACGTTCTGTGTCAAGAAGCCACAGGGCGGCTGGCGCATCGTTCATGCGTACAACAAGCTGAACGATGCGACGATACCGGCGCAGACGCCAATACCTCGAAAAGATGTCATCATCGATTCGATGGCCAGGAGCACTATCTACAGTGCTCTTGATCTGCGCGATGGGTTCTATCAGATCCTCATGCGTGAGAGCGATATCCCTCTCACGGCCGTGAGCACGCCGAGCGGCATGCTCTGGGAGTGGCTAGTGATACCGCAGTGTCTGAAGAACGCCCCTGCGACCTTCAACAGGTGCGTGACGCACTTGTTGCGCTCGGTGCGCGACTTCGCACCGAGCTACTTCGACGATGTGTTCGTCCACAGCCGGGGTGCGGACGGGATCGCACCCCGGCTGTGGACGGGATGAGCGATGTTGAGATGCACAAGGTGCATCTCCGGTAGCTGCTTGCGCTCATGCGCAAGCACAAGCTCTACGCGAACCTGAAGAAGTGCATCTTCGGGGCGAGCGAGATACTCGTACTCGGGTGTCTCGTTGGGAAGAACGGTGTCCGCCGACGCCGTCGAACGTCAAGGAACTGCGGCAGTTCCTTGGCTTGGCCACGTACTTGTGCAAGTACGTGAAGGTCTACGCGGGCATGATACGCCCGCTGTCACAGCTCCTGAAGAAGGACGCCGAGTGGGTTTGGACTGCTGAGTGTCTGCAGGCCTTCGATGCAGTCAAGCAGGGCTTGACTGAGGTGCCGATCTTGGCGGTGGCCGACCAAGATCGCCCATTCCACGTTGTGTGTGACGCATCCGACTTCGCAATCGGATGTGCGTTGATGCAGCACGATCACGAGGGCCGTGATCGTGTCGTCTACTACCAATCGCGTCAGCTCAAGGCAGCTGAGCGCAACTACCCGGTACATGACAAGGAGCTCCTTGCCACGAAGTACGCACTCGCGAAGTTCCGAGTGTATCTACTCGGAAGCAAACCGTTCGTGGTCTATACGGACCACGCGTCGCTGCGGACGGCTGTGAAGTCGCCGCACATCTCGCA